ATTTTATTTATTTTATTTATTTGACAGAGAGACACACAGCGAGAGAGGGAACACAAGCAGGGGGAGCGGGAGAGGGAGAAGCAGGCTTCCCGCAGAGCAGAGAGCCCGATGTGGGGCTCGATCCCAGGATCCCGGAATCATGACCTGAGCCAAAGGCAGACGCTTGACGACTGAGCCACCCAGGCGCCCCTGCTTTTTATATTTTGACCTTTTTCCTTTGTTTTATAAAAATGATAAAACTATGATGTATAGGGTTTTTAAATTGACCTTTAAGTCCCATTAACAAAACATGGAAGTATTCTTATGACTATGCAAAAAATTAGTTTTGAATTTTCAATAATCTAGAATTATAATTTTCAGTAATTTAGAATTATAAATTCTAATCCATTTTAAATATTTTGCTTCACAAAATTATGCTGAAAACAGTATTGTCTGACCTGTTTTCCACTGAACACTACAGGCCTCCCGATGTTAACTATTTTTTGGAGAAAGCAGCCACTGATCAAATCGGTATGGGAAATGTGACATACTCTAGCGCCCTCTTGCTGATTTGGTGTACATTAATATGCTAAAAACTTTTCTCACTATAATAATAAAAAAAAACCCCACAGTTTAGCTTTTCTCTAACCCAACATTACCCAAACTTGACCGAAAAAGACCTATTCACGTCTCTTGGGAATTTAATGCTCTGTGAAACACAGCTTGGGAATTGCTGGGGTTTTGAACACCTTATTCTTATTCGTGACACATTGTGTCAGAGATGCAGAGGAGAAAGTGACCAGTTTCCTTGGCAGCATGTCACAGGGTGGCAGTAACTTGGAATAGGCCCCGAGTTCAGGCTCTGGTCCATAGCTTTGTAGTTCGAACACCATTTTCTCAGCTCTCCTGAACTATCTGGCACTATATCCAACCAAACTCACAAGAAACTGGCTAGTGGGCAGCAGGGCCAACCTGGACATTTGGAAATCTGGGCTTGTGTCTCTGCAGCCATCCAAGACGTCATATTCCTAGTATCATTGTAGTTAGGAAACCTGATAAGTCATTAGTGATTTGCTTGGTGAGCATGGAATCAGCGCAGGGTGAATTGGTTTGGGAAAAGCCCGATGAACACACCCTGCTCCGCAGTAGTGATGGACATACCCCTGTCTTCCAGATGAGCGCACGCTCTCTCATGGCCTGGATGGGATGGATGCACACTGACAAGCCCACTAGCTACTCCCTTCCCCCACCCCCTACGCTTTGTGCACACACGCAGGTAGCTGGGCTGCAGTACAAAAGCCTAGGGCTTTCCTTAGTAATGTTACTGCCATGAGACCCCTCCCTGGCTACTTCAATTAGACTTCAGGGTTTCCCACACTAGATAGTGCTTACAGGCTGGGTAATTTCTACAGCTAGCTAAGCACCTACATTTAATGTTGATTTCATTTGTGTTAGTTTCATGCTCAGAAGGTAACCTTTTTCTGACCTTATTTCCAAATTATGTAGGCACCTTATAATAGCTGTCTGTGTAGTGGTTACAGTATCTTTCTGTCATGTCAAGCCATTTCTGTATTAATGCTTTCTAACTGTGAATTTAAATATGTGTAACAATTTGCTAGAAAATGCAGCATGGTGTCCTGTGATGCTGAGCTTTGAGATTGTCTTGTAGGGGGAGGGGGCATCCAGTCTGCACGCTTCTGTAGCCATGTAGCAAGAGCACAGAACACCACCATTCTTCTCAGGTATGCAGCAGCAAAGTGAGATTTACTCCTGTTTGGTTTTTTGCCAGGCTCTAAGAGATGGAAATAAGCTGGCACAGATGGAAGAAACGCCACTCTTTCCAGGAGAATCCATCAAGGCCACTGGTAAGTTTAATGAGTACACTGCGCTTATAGAGAGCCATAAAATGAAATGGCACTTTACTTGCGAGCACAGGTGATGTATGTGCTGGAGATCAGCCAAACCAATTTAATTAGGGGACAAATGGACTAGGTCTGTTCATTCTCTTAATGTCTTCATGACCTTAAGAGATAGAAGACTATATAGGATCGCTCTAAGTTCCAGTTGAGTGTTCGGTGACATCACCAACAGAAGAGGGGCCTGCCTTTTCCTGAGGAACTGAAGGCTGATTAGACACTCAGTGTAATGTAATGCTTCGTTGGAATCCTTCACTATAAGAATATATTGACAGAAGATCAATGTCATATCTTAATAACAGTTTTGACAACTTGGCAAAAGAATTTCAGTGGCTTATGAGGTTCCAGAAAGTACAATTTGAGCACAAGAAAAAGACCGTGTGTTGCCACCCTGCCTTGTAAGGGCAGTGGCATGAGTAGAGCGCCCCCATCCTCCCTCTGGCCCGCCAGGCCGTTCGGCAGGGAATCCACTGTGCCATGGGCAGACGGGAGGGCAACTGGGTGTGACCTTTTCATCTCACCATTGCCGGGGTTGGGCTGGGCAGTAGTTTGCTAGCCTGAGTGTTGCCTTCTTCCCTCACTGCTCCCTCCCAAAGATGTGTGCTCCATCTCAGTATAATCATCTTGTGTCAAGAATGAGGGGCGCCTGCGTGGCGTAGTTGGTTAAGCATCTGACTCTTGGTTTCAGCTTGGGCTGTGATCTCAGGGTCATGAGATTGAGCCCCATGTCGGGCTCAGCATGGAGTCTGCTTGTTCCTCTCCCCCCACCTCGCTGTCTTATTATCTAAAATAAATAAATAAATCTTAAAAAAAAAAAAAAAGAATGTTTGAGTAGCTGGGCTCTCCCAGGGCCTCCAAACAATACTGCTGCTGAGTATCCTAGCCTGTGGCTCTGAACCCTGCTTATCCTATCGGTGGTTTTGAAACTTACTTTCTTTCTTTCTTTCTTTCGTTCTTTCTTTCTCTTTCTTTCTTTCCTTTCCTTTCCTTTCCTTTCCTTTCTTTCTTTCTCTCTCTCTCTTTAGCAGGGGGAGGGGCAGAGGGAGAGAAGAGAGAATCTCACGCAGACTCCAAGCCCAGCACAGAGCCCTGCACAGGGCTCAGTCTTACAACCCTGAGATCATGACCTGAGCCGAAATCAAGAGTCGGATGCTTAACCGACTGAGCCACCCAAGCGTCCTGAAACTCTTCATTTAGCTTCTGGAACTTTTTTCACTCCTGGTGGTCCTCTGGCCTCTCTGACTATTCCTTCTCTGGGAGTTCTTTCTAGCCCTACCTCCATGCTGCTTTTGTAATGATCTGATTAAAATGCAGAGCTAATTATATGTCATGCCTCTGCTTCTTCTCCAGACAGCAAACTACACAGATTTCAAGTGTACAACATGAAGAGTTTTGACACATTATGCACCTGGGAAACCATCATCATAGTCAAGATAATGAACATATCCATCACCCCCAGAAATGTCCTTGGGCCCTTTATAATCCCTCCCTCCCATGCCTTCTTCCCCATCCCCAAGCACTGTAGACTAATTTATATTTTCTACAGTGTTTTAGAAACGTAATCATTGAGTATTTTCTTCTTTTGTCTAGCTTTTTCCACTCAGCATAATTATTTTGATATCCATATTGTGGAATGCGTCAAAAGTCATTCCTTTTTACTGCTGAACAGTATCCTATTATGTGGCTACACTACAGTTTGCTTATCCATTCATCTCTTGGTAGATATTTGGGCCGTTTCTCCTTGTTGGCTGTTACAAACAAAGCTGCTGTGAACCTTCACGAATAAGTCTTCTCTGACCTCATGTCCTGTCATCCTTGCTTCACCCTTTGACCCAGCCACACTGACCTCCAACAACTCTGCACTCTCTCCTCCTTCCCTTCCTTCTCCCATCCCGCCTCACCCTCTGCTGCCCTGCTGAGCTAAGTGGGTCGTTTTCTGAGCTCTTACCGCGCCCACGGTGATGATAGCATTTGTGAGGCTCTCATATAATAGTGATTTTCTGTGTAGCACCTCTCATAGGGCTTGGCTGCTTGTGAGCAGGAACTGTGTCCGGTTACCCCTAGAACCCCAACAATGGAAGCTGCCCAGTACATACTGAGCTATAGGAAAGTTGGATGGAAGTGTTTTGAGAACTTGGCTGGATGACAACTTTAGTGCCTTTAATTGTCCCCCTCGGACTCCTCTGTAGCTGTATACGCTCCTGCTATTCCTGTGCAGTGGCACTTAGAGAAGATGGTGAAGATGTGGTTATGTTTGTGACAGGCGTGAGCTTCTTCACACCTGCTGGACTCCAGTACGTTGTCGATAGGGATACTAAATATGTTGATATTAACAATAAGAAAATAAAAATTGATATGGAAGCTGATAAGGAATTTGAAGCAAAGAAGTCATTTTCCACGCCACCGATGTGGTTCTACTTTTTGTCATCTGTAAAACAGTTTCCTTTGGAGGTGCGTTAGCTTTCATTAGGAGTAATTGATGAAATAACAGCCCGGGGTCTTCAGAGTTTAATTACTGTGTTTTTGAACATGATGAATTTATCACTCAGGGAAAATGTTAACTACCTGGAAAACAATGACAAAATGTAACTTATTAAGAGGCCCTTTACTTAAAACCCCACTAAGTAGCAAATCAGAACTGTTGTACAAAATGGAATTTTCTTAGAAGACTATCTGTCTTTAATGTGATAAAAAAGGTAAAGTTCCTAGAAAACTGGAATCACAAATATATATATTTAGAAACGCAAGATTTATTGAAGCACAAGTCTGTGGCTAAAGTTGCTACTTGGGGTTCTTTCTTTCAGTGAAAGACGTCATGTACATCTGCCCATTTATGGGAGCAGTGAGTGGAAGCCTGACGGTGACTGACTTTAAGATGTACTTCAAGAATGTAGAGAGGGTAAGTTTTTAAAGGGGTATTTCATTTTTAAAAACACTTCAGAACACAGTCAACAATAAAGAAGAAAGTAAAAAGAACCCTGAAATCCCATCACTCTGAGAGAACCACAGGGTGAGTTTTAAGATGTGCACATTTGGAAATAGATTTTGCATCTAGAAAAAAATGCTGTTAAAGTCACACTTAGACCTGGTGGGAGGAGTTTAACTGTAGCCTTGACATCGACTTCATAAAGCATGTTATAAATCAGACTTCAGTTTTATAGTTGGGACAAAGGGGAAATGTAAACTAAACGTGTGTTTTCACCCAGAGAAGACTTCAAGTGTGAAAGCCCTGAGGACTGGCACTGATAGGCCTTTGTTAATTTGTAAACCCAGGACCCGAAGTTTGTCCTCGATGTTCCCCTTGGTGTGATTAGCAGAGTTGAGAAGATTGGAGCACAGAGCCACGGGGACAATTCCTGTGGCATAGAGATTGTGTGCAAGGTATGATGCGAACACGGGTGAAACTGCCGGGCGGTCAGCGTGGAGCTTTTGCTGACGCGTTCTTCGCGGTCTTTGGGCAGTGAGAGTCCCTGGGACTATCAGTAACTCCCATGGTTTTAGGACAGAGGCCTCTTCAAATCTTGCATCAGCTCATTCATACCACTCTGCAAGCTGTTGAGGTAAACCTCTTGTCTTCTCTTTCTTTCTTTCTTTCTTCTTGCATCAGCTCATTCATACCACTCTGCAAGCTGTTGAGGTAAACCTCTTGTCTTCTATCGAAGTATTCTAACCAACATGGACCTATAACCTGAGTGCTGATGTGATTTGTTACATTTCAGAGAAACAAGTGAAAAGCAGAGATCAATACTTTTTTCCAGTTTGTTGTTTTAACACGGCCTTTCAGAACAGTGGATGGTCAGACTTCCTGAAGAGACAGCAATAGCCTATAAATTCTGTGATTAAAAACATGATGTTGGGATTTTCACTTGAGCCATGCTTGTTTGGTTTTCTTCTCTTCCTCCAGTGCATTAAGTAGAAATATGTGTGATGATTTTAATGAGTAGTCATTTACGAAACACTTTAACTGGTGTGTCTTATTCCCAAAGACTTTACCTCACGGGGTGCACTTTGTTAACAACCCGAAAGTCCCGGGAAAGAGAGTCTGTGCGGAATTGCTAGGGTCCCTTCCATGGTCAGGGTTTGGATTCCTGCCAATGTTTGCTTTGATCACATCTCTGAACACAGCTCCCTCTGGTGTGGCCCCAGACTGCAGCTGAACCCATTTTTTCAAAGAATCCTTTACTCTTGCAGATCATGAATCTACTGGCGTCCTAGACTCCCTGTGGGCACTTCAGGGCAGTGCTGTCCTGCGACAAATTGCATCCGTCCTTCTCAGGCCAGGGTTCCCCATGCCAAGCCGCGTGAAGTGGTTGTGGGACTTAAAGCAGAGGGGTGATTTGATGGTCCTGCAGTTTGGGAACTTGACATTTTCCTTCTTAGAACTTTCCGGTAGCTTCCCATCATCCTTAGGCTAGAGGGAAGACTCACCAAAAGCCTGTGTGTCTGAGCTGGATGACTGCCCTGTGCAGCTTCGCCTCCGGCCACGCTCCCCTCGTTCTCGCTAGTCCGGTTCCTTCAGCTGCTCACACTCACCTTGTGTCTACCCTCCTCGTCCTCCCCCGCCCCCCCCCCGGGCTTTGAGTCTTCGCACCTGCTCTCTCCTTTGCTTGGAATGATTTGCATTCTCAGCAATCCTAAATAGCAAGTGAGCTCCATCAGCTACAAAGGTGTGTGTGTGTGTAGTCAGAGTAGCTTGGAGGGAGGGCGCACTGGGAAGTGACATTGCTTAGGCAGGTGCCTGGGGCTGTTGAGTGAAGCTGTTTTCATGGCCAGGGTGAGATTTGCCGATAGCTGCTTCAAAATGTTTTCCAGCCTAGCATGCCAGGGCCATGTCCCCAGCCCCCTCAGCTCCTACCTGAGAGCCTTGCAGGGCGTAAGGTTTGGTTTCTTTTAACAGGTGGTACACAATTCAGAAGGTACAAAAGGGGTGTGTAGGGAAGAGTAAGTCTCTGGCCACCCAACCCCCTAGCCACCTTGTTCCAGTCCCAGTAGGTGGGCGCACAGGCGTGTCCGTGTGGTCTTTACAAACGTAGATGGTAGTGTATTACATAGCCCATCTGCCCCCTCTTTCCCCGTTAACGGTGTGTCTTAGAACTCCTTGGTATCAGTGCAGAACTGCTGCTGGTTTCCCACAGCTCCTCAGTGCACCAGCCTCTATCGATGGGCATTTCAGTCATTTCCATTCTTCTCTGTTATAAATAATATTGCAACAATAACTTTGCCACTTCCCGAATTGCTCTTACTTTAATCTGTTTGTGGTCATATTTATCTTCAAATTTCATGTCATGTTAAGAAGAATGAGACTTTTGTGTTTAACGGCGTAGGTTTAAAAAGGTCAGGGGGCCCTGCTCAAACCAGTGCTGGGGAGAAATCAGAGCCACCTCACTGGGAGCACTCCCACGGGCTCAGCCAGCAGCTTTCATGGTGGGGCGTTTAAGAAACATTCTGGGAAACAGCATCGTAATTTCTGTAAGGAGCGCACTGAGGGACATAGTCTCGATGTGATACAGAGTCCTTGCTGTGAGCGCAGGGAGAAACCCCTGTCGCATTTCTATTTTATGGATGGTGCAAAATCTGCAGTCGGCTCTTTGGGCAGCTTAATGCTCACAGCTGATTCTGTGGCACACCTTTAGCAGTCAGTGCACAGGACCTGAAGGCACATCTTCCAGGTACTAACCTTCTTCTTGCTTCCATCTGATGAGTTCTTTCCCCAACATGTCCCCTTTGTTCCAGTTTCTTCAATGGCTGTTACCTTGTTGGAGGTGCTTTTGTTGTCTTTTGTTAGTAGAAGTAATCTATCACGTGAGAAATGAATACAAATATTTTGTTTATCTCTTTATAGCATGGTGTCTGACTCATAGATACTCAATAAATGTTCAATAAATGAGTTTTGCTAATTGTTTAATAGGATATGAGGAACTTGCGACTTGCTTATAAGCAGGAAGAACAGAGTAAACTTGGGATATTTGAAAACCTCAACAAACTTGCATTTCCTCTTTCCAATGGGCAGGCAAGTACACCAAAATACACCTTTGCATGTGTGTTGGGGGGAGGTCCAAAAAGTCATGTTTAATTATTCCTTTTTTCCAGAGGTTTCCTTTATCTCTTTTCTCTGTTTGTGACTAATATTAGGATATTTAAAATTTGTCAGTTCTATGTAATGATTAAGGAAAGTGCCAATGTGTTGCTTCCAAATTTACAGGTTAGAATAGAAATCTTAATATATTTAGCTCATAGCTGAATGAAAAGCTTTACTATTGGGTATATGATATAGCAAAGAAAAACTGACATGTGTATTTTTGTGATTTTTGTATCCAGACACTCTTTGCATTCAACTACAAAGAAAAATTTCCAACGAATGGGTGGAAAGTTTATGATCCTGTATCTGAATATAAGAGACAGGTAAAATATGGTCCTTATCAAGCCAAAAATAATGGGTTGAGCATCTTTCTCTTTTCTAACAGGTTAGAAATTTAGTGGAGAAAAAAACCGTTTGAAACAAGTTGTGCGTTGGTATAACTTACCTAGCTTGTAGGTTCTTCATCCCTGGGATGCCCCGTTCGCCCGATGCCAGACCTTTGACGCTGCTGCTAGTCAGCCTTTTTCCAGAAGGCAAGTGGAGTACTAGCACTGGGTTTAAAAAGCGAATCGGCCAGATGGTTCTTATTAGATATTCTGGTAATGAGTTGATGGGTAAGGACCAAAACCAATGGCTTCACTTAGATTAAGTGTATGGCATGACTACATCAGTCTGGTATGGTGTTCCTGTGCCTAGAAAGTCTTCAGTGCATTGTCAGGTTCAAGATATTCCAGTAAGATACTGTTTTGATGACATTTAATCTTTGTGTCCACTGTATATTTGGTATGGTGATTTATATTACTTACTGTAGATGTTTGTAAAACGTTTCTGTGTCCCTAAAGAACGTTCATGGGTTTTTCAAAAGCAATACCATGCTCATTCTTTATAGAAAACACAGCAAGAAGTGTACAGGATTGGGATTCTAGTATGTAATTTTTACCATTTTAAAATGTTTGGAAATTCTGATTCATTACATTTTTAAAAATAGGTAAGAAATGGGTTATGTTAGATAATCATATATTTAAACTTCTAAGTAGCAGTGAACAACAAATTATGAATGGATTTTTCGGAGAAAATAAGAAATGGATGTGGTTCACACTTAGTACTTTTTGAAAATGCAAAAGTTTGCTCTGACACCCTGCAGGGCTTGCCAAATGAGAGCTGGAAAATATCCAAAGTGAACAGTAACTATGAGCTCTGTGACACCTACCCTGCTGTCATTGTCGTGCCAACTAGTGTGAAAGATGCTGACCTTTCAAAAGTGGCAGCCTTTCGAGCAAAAGGCAGAGTCCCGGTAAGTAATAAACATCATCACTCAGGCATAAACACAGACTGTATTAGATCTAATATGGAACGAAACAAGACAGAAAAAAACTAGTGAACAAAGTAGAAAGTGAAAAAATAAGCCTAACACCCTCAATAGGCTGTGGAGACTAACAAAGGCGTAGCAAGAAAGAGCATACTGTTGCATTAACAGCATCCTTCGCTGGGTTCGTCAAGCCATCTTAGAGCAAAGACACTCTCTTAGACGCTGAGTGGAATGCTGCACCCTTACCCAAGCCAACATAGGGGCCGGCAGGGGCTGAAGTGTTTTAAACAGCTTTATTGAGGTGTAACTGCACATGTGCAGTTTGATGACTTTGAACATAACATGTCCACCCATGACACTCTCACTATAACCAAGGAGGGAGTGAGCGTCTTTGAGCCTAGAGTTTGTGGTCGGATATAATCCGGAGTCTCCTGGCTACCTGAGGAAAACTGGAGGTTTGGGGGCCTAGCTTTAGATCTCATAAGACACTGTCTTCACTTTGCCCTCATTCTGCCACATATGTGATCGTGAAGATACAAAGATGTTTTTAAATTAGGAGACAAAATAAAACGAGTCATTCAAATAGGAGTGAGGCTTGACATTAGTCAGTTTGACTTCGTTTCTGTTGTCCTTAGAGTCATAGAATTTGAGAGGTGGAAGGGGATTTTTGGAGCTTATCTAGTCAGACTTCTTTCCACCTGACCCAGAGAGTTCCAGAGCCACTATCATGCTGTCATTGGTTTCAGCCCTCACCTTCGAGGAAAACATGCAGAAGAAGCCTTGCTTGAAAAGACAACTTCTTTTTACTGCCTGGCAATCAGGGCACATACTGTTTTAGGAACCGTACTAATGTTTGTTGCTTACAAACACTAGGTGTTATCGTGGATTCATCCAGAAAGTCAGGCAACGATTACCCGTTGCAGCCAGCCACTTGTGGGTCCCAATGATAAACGCTGCAAAGAAGATGAAAAATACTTGCAAACGATAATGGATGCTAACGCACAGTCTCACAAACTTATCATCTTCGATGCCCGACAAAACAGTGTCGCTGATACCAACAAGGTACGTTCTCAGTAACGTTACAGAAACAGTGGCTCTTTTGTTACGTGGTGGCCGTAGGTTGTTATGCAGTTCAGTTAGACTGCGGAGTTCCTCCCCACCTGAAGGTGGGGTCTTTCTGAGTAGCTCCCAGCTGTTCCTCACCGTTATATAGCTTGTGGGGCTTTGTGCAGCGTCTCTCTCATTGCTTCTCCACCATCCTGGCTGCTGAATTAATTAAGCAAAGACCCAGAAAGAGGATTATCACCTAAAGAATCAAGTAAGACTTTTAATGAAATGATCATGAGGCCCTTGGGAGTCCATTTAACCCGTGAACTATGGAGATAACTTGATTAATTCGTATCTGGTCTGAAGCTCTGTTAGAACGGAGTCACCTGTGTGAAACCAGGCACGTGTACAAAGTTGCCATAAATCACATGCAGGAGTGTCATCCACAGACCGCTCCCGTTTAGCCCCGCTAGGTGGAGGGGACGGGATCCTTCACACCCAGCCACAGCTAAGAGGCCACGCCTCCAGCACCTGCTCTCCAAGTAGGAAAAGCTCTGAACTGCGTCATTTCTATTGCCTTTCTGACAGTGGTCCTGCAGGCGTGCATCTGGCAGAGGACTTGGCCCTCTCTGTGAGTCATTTCAGAGATCAGGAAGGTGGCGGCAGCCCTTCCCATCTCATGCTTACTTGTAAAATGACACTTGGGTCACAGACATGTAATGCGCACCTACTAGGGGCAGGTGCTGGGGGAAATACCAAGACAGATACGGTGAGGTGCTCTGTTATAGGAGGGGTCAGCTCGGCGTGTGGGGGGAGCCCGGAGAGGGCCTGGCCAGCCTTGCTGGTGAGGCTGGGGGGAGGCGGCATTAGGGCTGGCTGTGGATGGTGAGCAGGAAGAGACGGGCACGGGCATCTAACAGCGTGCCAGAGCACATCACTCACAAGAATGGCAAGATGTGTAAGGGTGCGGTCACCAACCCCACGCCCAGCCCGTGTCCCCCTAGCAGTGCCTGGGAGTCTGTTTCTCTTGGCAGCTTGGGCCTCTTCTTTCCATGGTGATTATTCCATCGTTGAGCAAAATCTCCAAAAAGCTAACCTCCTACCGCCCCTGTCTCACTCTGGAGAGAAGCCATTACCTTCCGCTTCAGAGAGCACACAAGCCACCGGACATGCCATTTCCCCTCAGTCCCTGGGTGCTTGCCATGTGTCACGGCTTGCTAGGCACTGGGGAGGGACACACTGAGCAACAGTCACGCGATCTGCCACGTGGCCACGCAGTGTGCCATGGAGGAACATAGAGTATGCTCGGAGAGTAGAAGGGGCCTGGTTACTTGCCTCATGACCCTGGGCCATGACTTCATCTGTCCAGACCACAAGTGCCTCGCCTCTCAAGTGAGAGCGACAGTATGTCTGCTTCCTGGAAGTACTGTACAGGGCCCAGGACAGGGCCTGTCCCGGAGAAAGCATTTGGTTCGTGGTAGCTGTCATCGGTCCTGAGCTCAGTGTGAGCTGCTCTGTCCGCGTGACCGTCATGACATCTCGCTGCCTGGGTCCCTCTCTCTGACCTGGCCAGCTCAGTCTCCTTCACTGGTTCCTCCCCTCTCCGCAACCTCCAAATCGTGGTGCTCCTTGAACTCCATCCGGGCTCCTCTTTTCTACTTTGCACCATCTCCCCAGGCTGTCTCCTCCAATGCCACGACTCCAGACACTCTCTGTATGTTGAATTTGATACCCGGGTTTCCATCTCACTCTGATCCCTCCTGAAGGCGAGGCAGAATGTCTGTCCCATTGTCACGTTGACATCTCTGTTCAGCTGTCTCCCATGTAACGACCTCCGTGTATCCAACTCGGCCTGAGAGGCGGGGCAGTGAGAACCCTGCGCTTGGCAACCAGTTTCGCCTGGGTTTCCCTCCAAGGTCTTCCCTTGCTGCTCTGTCACACCCTGAGCAGGTTATTGACCTCTCCATAAGCCTTAGGTCTGTAAGATGGAAGGTGACAGCGTGTGGCGTAGAGATGTACCAGGATGACACCTGAGAAGAATGCGCATCACGGCCGCAGCACGTGATGCTCATAAGCTCGCCACCCCGGTGGTCTGGCCTGGGGGGTGACTGGTGGTGCCAGTCACGGAGATGAGGAAGACCGGCAGAGGAACAGGGCGGGGAAGGACATGGGCAGGATAGGAGTTTCCTGTACAAATTAGCACAAACTAGGTGGCTTAAAATAACACAAATTGATTCTCTCACAGTTTGGGAGGCCAGAAATCTGAGATCTGCCCAAGCTGTGCTCCTTCTACGGGCTTCAGGGGAGAATCTGTTCCTTGCCCCTTCCAGCTCCTGTTGGCTGCTCTGTGCGCGTAGCCATGGCGTGCAGATCTCTCCCTCTGCCTTCATGTGGCCTTCTCTACGTGTCTGTGTCTTCCCTCTTCTCTCTTCTAGGGATACTTGTGATGGCGTTTAGGGCTTTCCCTAGGTAATCCAGAATGGTCTCTTCATCTCAAGATCCTTGACTCGATGACCTCTGCAAAGACCCTTTTTCCAAAAAATGTCACATTCACAATCACCAGGGATCTGATGTAGATCTCTTTGGGTGGGGGAGTGTTTTTCAGCCTACCATGGGGAGTCATTCTCAATTAGTTCCCCATGCTCCCACAGCTGGTGGGTCATTAACCCCGTCAGTCTTTCCACTTCCCTGCGTACTTCCTGTCACCACTGCAGGACTATCCCACAGAAGTAAGAAGCGTGAGAAGAGCTGCATTCACAGAAGCAGCCTTCTAAACACCCTACAGAGCAAGGGCAGTTCTTTGTGTGTGAACTCATGTGGAAGAGGCAGAAGCAGGACACCGAACTGCATGTCTGGAATGATTTTGTTTGTAGTGCTGTTATGTCTAGGAACCAAACAAGTCCCTGTTAGCTCTTCTATATATATTACCATCTCATCTGCAAGGAGAGATCCTTTACTTCTTCCTTTCCAATCTGGATGCCTTTTATTTCTTCGTTTTGCCTAATTTCCTGGCAAGAACCTCTAGTACCATGTTGAGTAGAAGCAGTGAAAGCAGTCATCCTTGTCTTGTTCCTAATCTTAGGGGAAAAGCTTTCAGTTTTTCACCATTGGGTATATTAGCTGTGGGTTTTTCATAGGTGCCCTTGTCAGGCTAAGGAAATTCCTTTCTCTTGTTAGTTTTCTGAGTGGTTTTACCATGAAAGGGTATTAGATGTTCGAAGGCCTTTTCTGTATCAGTTGAGATGATCCTGTGTTTCTTTTTTCCTTCAGTCTGTTAATGTGATGTATTCCACTGACTGATTTTTGTATATTGACCACTGTAGTGGGTCGAATAGTGTCTCCCAGAAATTCGTGTTCATCTGGAACTTCAGAATATGACCTTATTCAGAAATAGGGTCTTAGCAGATGTAATTAGTGAAGAGGAGGTCATAGTGGAGTAGGGTGGGCCCTCAATCCGGTGCCTGGCGCCCTTAGAAGGTCATGTAGGGAAGATGGCAGGCTGCACGAGCCGCACCAACGCTTGCCAGCCGCCACCGGAAGCCAGGAGTGGGGCACGCGACAGAGTCTCCCTCCAAGCCCCCAGAAGGAGCCAAGCCTGCCAGACACACTGGTCTCGGACTCGTAGCCTCCAGAACTGTGAGGGATCAAGTCTGTTGTTTTAAGCCCCCCTAGCTTGTGGTACTTTGTTACTGCGGCCCTAGGAAGCTCCTACAACCCCCTTACATTCCCGGAATAAATCCCACTGGGTCCTGGTGGATAATCTCCTTAATAGACTGCTAGATTCAGTTTGCTAGTGTTTTGTAGAGGCTCCCTTCAGTCCAGTCTCCACATCATGGCCGGAATGACCTTCTAAACGTCTACCTCTGCGCACACCCTCAGTGCCTTGAGGCAGTGACATCTAGTTCCTGAACGGGGCCTCTGAAGCTCTCCACCCCCGGGCCCTTCCTTCCTGTCTCTGCAGCTCCCAGGCCCATGTCCCAACTGTGGGATGCTTCTTTCTGTTCCTGTAGCACACGTCCCGGTGGCATCTCTGAGCCTTTGCCCCCAGAGCTAAGCATTCCCCCATCCTTGAGATGACATGTCAGTGTCTCTTCCTCGGGCACGTCTTTCCAGATGAGCGGAGGTCTCCCTGTGTGGTGGTGCCCTGCACACAGTTGCAGTTCCTCATTCAGTGCACGTCCAGCCACCGGGCCCTCGGCGCCAAGTGGCAGGGACTACTCTGAGGGTCCCTGGAACCCAGCGATTACATAACAGCTGCTCCATGACTGGAATGAGGGGCTGGCTGGTGGGTCAGGTTCCTCTCTCCATGGACAGTCGCCATGTAGGGGGCCTGATGGCAAGTGGCATGGTATGGGAACTCAAAAGTCCGGACTCCATTATGGAGCCAGTGTGATGGCACCAAAGGGTTTTCAGTCAGATTGTTTCTTGAGAAAGTGAAACATGGAGGGAAGGAACTTAGCTTTAAAGGTTGCATTTGAGGAGCCTGAGTGGGGAAGATAAGGCTCTGGAGCTCAGAGAAAGGTCAGGTTGGAGGCTGAGATTGGGGCCCAATCTCACGGTGGCATGCTGGGTGGTGGTTGCAGGCTGGGGGCGGGCAGGGGCAAGGCCACCAAAGGAGTCCAAGCCACCTGAGCCATCTGTGGAAGGCCGGAGAGGAACCCATGGGAGGAAGGGGTGCTTCAAGTGGGGGGGGAGACCCCAAAGAGGGAGGGAGAGGTCCTCGATGTCAGGAGAAGAGGAGCATCCAGTGGGAGAACTGGGTGGGAGAGGTGTCTTAGCTCGGGCTGCTCCAACAGAATATCGGAGGCTGGGTGGCCTATGAACAACAGACACTTATTTCTCATAGCTCTGGATGCTGGGAAGTCCAACGTCACGGTAACAGCAGATCCCGTGTCAGGTGATAGCCCACTGCCTGGCTCGTAGATGGCCACCTTCTCACCGTGTCTTCACACTGCCGAGAGCAAAATGAGGCCCACTGTCTTCTGTCTCTTCTTATAAGGGCACTAATGCCATCATGAGGGCTCCACCCTCCTGACCTCATCCCCTCCCAAAGGCCGCATCTTCTGACATCATCTTTTTAAGGATTAGGGCTTCAACACATGAATTTGGTGGGACGAAAATATGTAGTCCACTACAGGAGAGGTGTGTGGACTTTGGATTCTGAGGGCGTGGGCATCCTGCCCTGCCACTTTGTACCTCTGGCCCTTGGGAGTTGTCCGCCCTCTAGGAGGCTCCCATTCTCTCACCTGGGAACCTCCCCCTGCTGCTGAAGACTGGCAGACTGATGGGCGGATGGCCTGGCAGGCCTGCCCCAAGCGCAGAACAGCTGTGTGAAATCAGGGAAACCTGAGTCCGTCCTTCAGCCGGCTGCTCCCTGGGGGTGTTCGGGCTTCTTTTTCCCACGAGGGTTGGGGATGGCCCCGCCGCCACTGCTGTCGGCTTATTCTTGGGGCCTTGTGGGCTAGCAGGGAACAGTGTCCCCACATCTCCGGCTTCTCTCCAGAACCCTGCTTTGCCCCCATACAGAGAGGTCTGGCCAGCAAAGTCTTGTATTCCAGAACGCTCTGGACCCCCTCCCCCTGTTCCTTCTGGGGTACAGGTGGGGGCCTCCTCTCACCCTCCTTCCCCTTCTGTCTCAAGACCTCCAGAGGCCTGTTCTCTGCGAATCTGTTTACTTCCATAACCTCATTTCCGGATTGTCATTTGTCTTATTTGTATCTTTAGTGATCAGTTCCTGGGCAACAAATTGCCTTTAAACACCTTCTCCTGGTGCTCCTCCTTAGCACGGGCTTCCTCTGTGCTGAAGGCCTGGATGAGCTCGAGCCCAGCGCACCACCTCACAGAGCAGCTGCCCCGGGCCCCGGGGCTCCGGCAGGCAGGGGCTGGGCCCGGCTCCTCTGCCTGGCGCAGGGCTACAAACGTGGGAGGTGCTCGGCGAGGTAATCCTGCCCTGTGCTTGACGATCTTGGGGCAGGGAAGGCACCAAGCCTTGCATGGATTAGCATTAATTAAGAAAACTGATTTTACTTAATTAGCATTTAATCTGCACAGCGGCCCTTTGAAAGTCTTACAGGTGGGAAGGTTGGGGTGTAGAGAGGTGAGGGCACCATAACTATTTGGGTGGCAGAGCTGGGATTACAAACCCTTTTTCCCTGCCACCAAAGTCTGTGCCTTTCACCCCTCTGCTGTGTTGTTACTTCCTTTGTCAGCAGCATCTTCATTGGATGCTTCAGTGGTTTTTATGAAAATATAATTCTGTCATGGAGGCAGGACTGTGCTCGAGACTGCTTTGTCTGTAGTGGGTGTTACAAAGTGTTTCACTGAAGTTAAAGCATCTCCTAGAATTCTGTGAAATAACCTGAAGTGTAGCTGGTATCCAAATACACGGACATTCTTGTTTTCCTGTCAGGCACATTAGCCACTTGCTTAGCCCCTGCTCCTACGCCCGGGTAACCGGCTTCTAGCCGCATGCAGCCCAGTCTTCCCTGGAACTACTTCCCTGCTGAGTTCTTAGATGTAGCCTGGGCTCTCGGACTCGGCCTCTTGTCCAGGTCGCTCTGTGGCCTGTCCTCTGTGCATGGGGGCCCAGGCCCCAGTGCCCCCGCCCCCAGCTCCCTCTCGGCCCTGCCCGTATTCCTATGCTCCTGCCTGGCCCAGCCTCCTTAGACTGTCCTGCCTAATGTCCGCCAGCCAACACCTTGGCTCAGTAGCCCTTTGGCACCCCCACCTGGCCCAGTTCCGTTCTCCTGCCAGTGCCCCAGACTGCTGAATGTTCCATGAGAATGAAAGGCTCACAATGTGCAGGCTGGAGCCACTCCAGATTCATGCTGGAATTCTCCAGCCTCAGCTGGGCCCTCAGTGATGCTTGGAAGTCCCTCCTCCCCACCCCCAGGCTCCCCAGAGGCCACTTCAGCCCCTTTATGACTTTTTTTTTCTAATGTACAACCCTGCCCCACCCCCTTCATCCTCAGCAGCTGACCTTGCCTTTGTGCAGAGGCCTCACCAAGCCTCCTGCCACCAGACCTGGAAGCTGCCTTGTACTGCCGTCCACAGAAGCCTCCTGTTAACGGAGGCCGAGTGGCCTCCTCTCTGTCCTCTACCGACTCTGCCATGAAGTCTTTCCCATCTGCACGAATAAGCTGCCTCTCCAGCCACTGTCACCGTCCCCTTCCAGCTGGCGATGTTGTTCTCCTGCCCTTTACAGACGGGCTTCTGGGAGCAGCTCTCGCCCTGAGACGCGGGGTGCGCACGACCGGCCGCTCGCCTCCTAGGCCTGTGAAGCGAGCTCCCGTCCCCGGCTCTGCCCAGACCGTTCGTGGTGCGGTCACCAAATCCAATGTGTATTTTTCAGTTCTTTTCCTCGACTTCTCAAGCTTTTGGTAGTTTAGTACTTTTTCCTTTTCAAAATACTCTTTTCCTTTTTTTCTTCTTCCTCTAGTTTCTGGCAGCTCTTCTCAGTCTCCTTTGCTTTCTGTGCCTTAAACGCTGGCCTTTCTCAGGCTCCCAGGCTCCGCTTCTCTCCTGGCTTACCTGCTGACCTTGAGCACGGTGTGCCAGACCTCTGTCCTCCAACATCCTCCGTAGGCCAGTGACTTCGTGTCGGTAGCCACAGCTGAGACCTGTCTTCTGAGCTGCAGACCGCTGCCTGCAGACCTTTCTGCTTACATTTCTCACAGGCACCTTGCGCTCACTATGCTGAAAGCTGAACACTGTGTTCCTTCTGTAATAGTCTGGTCTCAGGAAAGGATACCACTGACTCTTGGGGTGCCCGGCCTAGAATCCTGGGCGTCACTGCCTCCTCATGGGCTTCCTGCTTCCATCGCCCCAGTCAGCCATCGTGTCTTGCCCCTTCAAGATCTCCAGTCTGCTGCGTCTCTCTGCCCTGCTGCCTCCGCCACGATTCCCTCAGCCAGATGAGTGCCCATCTCCGAGCTGGTCTCCCTGCGGGAGGTCCCACCTTCCTCCAGGCCCTTCTGCCCAGCACAGCCAGTGGTCTGCCACAGTGCAAGTCTGACCCTCTCCCCGTGCCTGCGCCGTCCAGCCCCAGGCCGCCCTCTGGCCACCTCTCCCACTGCTCTCGCCACCGCCGTGGCGTGCTCTCAGCTCAGCTGCTTGCCTGCCTCTCGGGGAGCCGCGTCCTCGCCCATCTCTGGGCATCTACACACCACGGCCCCTCTGCCCTGTGTTCTTGACCTTCCTCCCCACGGCAAAGCTTTCCTGACTTGTGTTCTCAGCGTGGACGTCTCTTCTGTCCCCCTGGCAGCCTCCCGGGCCTGGCCACGTGCCCCCAGCACACCCCGTGCTCTCCTGCAGCAAAGGACTTGCCCCCCTGCGCTGCACACGTCCCTCTCCTCACCCGCCTGCCCTGCCAGATTGTGAATGCCTTGAGGACCAGGGTCTCCACTTGTCACCCCAGTATTTAGCTCAGGGCATTAATATCCACACCCTAAGTGGTTGGAGACGAAATGAAGGGTGTGGTCTTTGGGTTCACGATGCATTTATTATGTCTTTGGAGATAAAATTCATATAACATTAATCTGGCTATTTTAACTGTCCCAGAGTTTACGATTCAGTGACTTCTGGTATATTCACAATGTTGTGCAACAATCCCCTCTAACTCCAGAATGCTTTCATAGCCCCAAATAGAAACCCTGTGCCCATTGGCAGTTGCTGCCCATTGTCCCCCCCAACCCGCCCCCCAGCTCCTGTCAACCACTAATTTACTTTCTGTCTGTATAGATTTCCTTGTTCTGGACCTTTCATATAAATGGAATCATACAACATGTAGTCTCTGGGGCCTCAGTGTGACGTTTTTAAGGTTCACTCATGTTGCAGTATGTACCAGCACTTCTTACCTTCGTCTGACTGCCTAAAGTCCCATTGTATGGAGAGAGCACATTTTGTTTGTCCATTCCTCCACTGCTGGGCAAGTGGGTTGCTTCCACTTTTTGGCTGTGGCGAATAGTGCTGCTGTGATCTTTCATGGACAAGTTTTTGTTCGAGTACCTGTCTTCAGTTCAGTGGGCATGGAATGGCTGAGTCACGTGGTAATCCTGGGCTTAAATCTGAGGAGCCCCCAAACTGTTTCCCACAGGGACTGCACAGTTTGAATCCCCACCAGCAGCATATCCGGGTTTCAGTTTGTCTACGTTCTCATCACGGATGGGTTCTGAATGTTGACCTTCACAAAATAGAAGCTAATTATAGACCAGATTTTGTTAGGAGATTACCAACGGGTCAGCCATAGTCCCTGTTTTTGTTTCATTTGCATTTTATTTTACTTAAATTGCGTAAACCTCCTTGTTTGGGATTTACAAATAGTTTTATTATACAGAAATTTTTGTGGTAGTACAACTTTTTCTGTTCAGACAGATGGCACTAACAGACAGAACCTTTAAAAATTAACTCGCCTTGAGTAAGATCCAGTTGTTAATGGTTTAAAAACTGATGATGGGTGCAGGACAGTTGTTATGGGTTGAATTGTGTCTGCACAAAAAATATGCCAAATATCTAACTCCCAGTACCTGTGAATGTGGCCTCATTTTGAAATGAGGTCTTTATAAATGTAATCAAGTTAAGATGAGGTCCTATTGAATTCGGGTGGGCCGTAATCCAGTCTGACTGGGGTCCTTAGAAGAAGAGAAGAGACAGACACGAGGTGAAGGCCATGTGATGATGAGGCAGAGATTTGAGTCATGTGTCTGTAAACCAGGACCACCTGGGGCTACCAGAAGCTGGAAGAAGCAAAGAAGGATCCTCCCCAAGGGGCTTCTCAGGGAGCATGGCCCTGCCGGTACCTTGATTTTTGGCTCCAGCACTGTGAGAGGACATTTCTATTGTTTTAAGCCGCTTAGTTTGTGGTACTTTGTGCCAGCAGCCAGGGGATTCACCTGGAGGAGGTTTATTATACACAGATGGCCTTGTTGCTTCCTTAACGGTCTCTTTCTGATAACACTAGAAACAATCGAAGTATGAACTCAGATGCAGTGCTGTTCTGTCTTTTGTTTTTCACAGGCCAAGGGTGGAGGGTTCGAAAGTGAAAGTGCTTACCCCAACGCGGAGCTCGTGTTCTTGGAGATCCACAACATCCACGTGATGAGAGAATCCCTGCGTAAATTGAAAGAGATTGTGTACCCTTCGATAGATGAGGCACGGTGGCTCTCCAACGTGGATGGGACACACTGGCTGGAGTATATAAGGGTAAAGAGAGCTGGTCCTTGACATGCTTTCTGGTTAAGATTTCTCTGTGTACCTGCCATAAATCTGTGTCTCCACGTGGTTTCTCAGCACTGTAAAGAAGCACATCTTTGCAGTATTCTAGGCTCTCATAGTTTCCACAGGCAACATTCAGACTGTGGTCTTTGTTGAGGGATACTGCTTGCATCAGATCAGGTTTGGAATGTACTTTGTGGCCCCGTAATAAATGACTGCATTTACTGTCATCATTTTTCTTAGTGTTGGGTGTGTTCCCCACCCCCAGCGCTACTGTTTCTGAGTGATCCTCACTTGATTGCATTGTTTGGTTTATTGACCTGAACTTCTTAACATTCTCCACAGAACTATTTTTTGCTGTCCTAGAAATTAAACGTAGCCTGCTCTAATGTGCCTTCTTTTTCTGAAGATGCTTCTTGCTGGGGCAGTAAGGATTGCTGATAAGATAGAATGTGGGAAAACTTCGGTGGTGGTTCACTGCAGCGATGGTTGGGACCGAACAGCCCAGCTGACGTCTCTGGCTATGCTGATGTTGGACAGTTACTACCGCACCATTAAAGGGTTCGAGGCTCTCATAGAGAAGGAGTGGATAAGCTTCGGACATAGGTTTGCGCTGGTAAGCTGAGACTGTGAGGTACATTCTTGGCTGTTTTGTTCTCTCCTATGCATGTGTGTATCACACAACACACACACACACACACACACACACACGTGTGGGCTTTCTGCTCTGTATCAGACCTGAGTCAGCATAATAGAATACCATGGACCTCAGCATGGTATGTTTTTGGTAGGGCACTCTGTTTTTTAAAAATTTTTTTAGTGTAGGTATGTTGTTTTTTTTAATAAATGAGGTAAAATTCATATAACAGAATTAGCCATCTTAAGGCATACAGTTCAGTGACATTTAGTACATTCACAATGTTGTGCAAACACTGGTTCTGTCTAGTTCCAGAACATTTCTTCACCCCCAAAAGGAAACCCTGTACCCGTTAAGTAGTCCCTCCTCATCTCCCCCTCCTCCAGCCCCTGACAATCACTAACCAGCTTTCTGTCTTTCTCGGTTTGCCTGTTCTAGGTGCCTCCTGTAAGTGGAATCATATAATATTTGTCTTTCTGTGACTGGCTTATTTCACTAAACACACTGTTTTTAAGGTTTATGCATATCATAGTATATATAAAAACTTAATTCCTTTTTATACCTGAGCAGTATTCCCTTTGTTTATCCATTTCTGTTGATGGACCCTTGGATTATTCCCACCAGTTGGCTCTTGTGAATAATGCTGCTATGAACATTGGCATACAAGTTTTTGCCATGCAGAGTACCACAAACTGAGTAGCTTAGACAATAGAAATGTATTGTCTCCCAGTTCTGGAGGCTGGACGTCCAAGATCCAGGCGCTGGCAGGGTTGGTCTCTCCTGAAACGTGTCTTCTCGGCTTGTGCGTGGCCGCCTTCTCACCAAGTGCTTACATGACCTTTCCTCTGTGTGCACCTCCCTGGTGCCTCTCTCTGCATCCAAATTTCCTCGCCTTAAAAGGACACCAGTCAGACTGGATTAGGGCCCAGCCTCCCAGCCTCCTTTTAATCACCTCTTTATAGACCCTGTCTCCAAATATAGTCCCATTCTGAGGCCCTGGGGGTTAGGGCTGCAGCGTAGGAATTGGGGCAGTACACAATTCAGCCTGCAACGGCCTGCTTTCACACTTGGGGACATACCTAGGGGTGGGATCGCTGGGTCATCTGGTAGCTATTCTCGAGCTGCCGTTTGTGTTTTAGTATAAATGGCTGTTCGTTCCTGGTCTTTCCCAGTCATTGAGCCAGTGCGGATTCGTCTTAACTGTGCATGGCACTGGAATATGCCTGAAGCCTCGTTCAGACCCACTCCCAGAGAGCAGGAGGATGGGCAGTGGCTGGGGGGTGCTTCGGTGGCTTCCGCCGTGGGGGTACCAAGTACATGGGCCATGAGGAGGAGGAAAGGCAGCTTCACAGCCTGGGAGCCACATGCCCTTCGGGGGCCGTCGTCAGAGCCTCCTCTGCACTGCACCCCTTCCCTCTGTGCGCCTCGGTCCCCTTCTCTGAGGTGGTGTGTTGTGCAGCAGAGGTGAGTTTGTGTATGTCAGATGCTTAGGACCGGGCCCTGAGGACAGGTAGGTTTAGTGGGGGCGAGTGAAGCTCTCCCCAGTGTTTGCATCTGGTCACCTGAAGGCTCCCAGGCCATTCCCTGCCACCACTCCTCCCCACACTGTGTGTCCTGGGAGAGAGCAAGCGGGCAGGGGCCCTTGACTAGATGGGCGGTGCTGAAGGTTATGGACTGAGAAGCCTGCCATGGCCACGCACAGCACGCATCGGGGTGTGCGCGCACGCTCCGCTCCTGGCCCTACGTGCTGTTGCGGGTTCGTCATGGTGATAAGATCATGAGATTCCTAATGGCTGCAGTTTACTGAGCACCACTGTGCACCCACATCCAGCACTGTTACATGTATCATCTGGTTTAATCCTAGAGCCACCCCGAAGCAGCTGCTGTAACAGATTTCAGGAGTGTGACCCAGCTGTTGAGGGTGGAGCCAGTTCCCAAGCCGCAGTTGCAAGCCTGCCATCACCTGCTTGCTGCCTCCCTGTACTCTACCCTCGAGTTTCTGTTAGTGAGCCATCTAAGTTCCTCCCTGAGGCCAACTCCTGTCCTTGGCCCCCTGTTCCATCATCCTGCCTCTGGCCTGCCTCCCACTCCCCTCTCGCCTAGATGGGTCCCACTGGCATAGAAACATGCCATTATTTATCCCACCCTGGAAACCAACCCTCCTGACCCTACTTTTCCTCCAGCTGTCACCGCAAAGATCTGTCCCCTTTATGATAAAGCTGTCCTGTACTCACTTCAGCCAGGCTTCCTCCTCCCAACACCCACCTCACCCCGAAACTGCACGTTACAGCCACCAATCACTGCCACTTTGCCAAGCCCTTCTCTTATTTGGCCTGAGCACTTGATGCTGTTGGTTCTTCCCTATTTCTGGAAACCGTTTCTTCCCTTGGCTTCTAGGTCTCCACAACCTTTTGAATTTCCTCCTCTCTTTTGGTCCTCCCTCTCTCCCCAACCTCTTAGTGTTGGGGTGCCCTAGGACTCAGTCCTCAGATTGCTTCTCTTCTCTCTGTATGCTTAATACCTTAGTGATCTTGACTGGTCCCACGTCTTTAAATACATGTGCTTCAAATCTGTTGTCTCCTCCTCGGTGCCACTGATGCCCCCTTCATTCCAGCCTGCCCATCTCCCTTGGGGCTGTGATGGCAGCCTCCTAACTAGTTTCTCTGTCACCTATCCCCTTCCAGTCCATTGTCCTCGCTGCAGCCAGATGGAGCGTTCCAAGAAGCAGATCTCATGCCGCCATTCCCCAGCACGAATCCCGTGGCCTATGCGGTCGTGGGCAAACTCCTCAACTCAACATTTGAGGCCCTTGGTGATCTGGCCTAGTCCACCTTCTCAGCCTTGTCTCGCCTCCCTCCCCTTGCCTCATGCCCAGCTGCTTACGGTGCTCTTGGTATCCTCCACCATGGTCCCACTGCTTCTACTACAGTGCATCCCTGGCCAGCCAGGAAGTAGGCACATCCTTCTGTCCTTCAAGGTTTATCTCAAATGAGACCTCCTCCATGACTGTGACTCGTGGGATTTGCCTCCTCTGGTCCCTCCTCTGCCCCGTCCTAGGTTGGTCACTTGTTCCTTTGTGGCCCCACCATACCCATTCCAGACTTGGAAGCCCTGGGCACATTTTAGTGCCCTTGCTATTTGCAGGCCTTTCTCCCATGACTAGACTGCAAGTGAATTATTTGTTTAGCACAGGTACTTTGTCTCATTTATCTCGGTACCTCAGGTGTATAGCCAAGAGCGTGGCCTCTATGGGACACCATGACATGTCCTGCAATTCCAGGGGCCAGGCAAGATGCCTTGCGTACACCAGAGGAATTCAGTGAATGGCTGTCAAAAGAATGAATCTTAAATTGCGAGCGGTCATAGAAAACCGTTCCCGAGGTGCCTTAAATACTGAAGAGCAGGTTCTACAAATTATTTTGTAAAGGGGAAGTACAGAGATAAGTCAACTTATACAGCTGCTGTGGAAAACAGTATGGCGGTTCCTCAAACAATTAAAAATAGAACTACCCTGTGATCCAGCAATTCTGCTTCTGGGGATACACCCAGAAGAAGTGAAAACAGAGACTTGGATAATTGCACACCCACGTTTATAAACAGTGTGATTCACAGTAGCCCAAAGGTAGAAGCAACCCTGGTGTCCATCGACAGATGAATGGATACATAGAATGTGGTCTGTCCATACAGAGGAAGTGTTATTCAGCTTAAAGAAGGAAGGAATTTCTGACACATTCTACAGCATAGATGAACCTTGACGACCTTCTGCTGAGTGAAAGAAGCCAGTCACAAAAGGACACATACTGTAGGAGTCCACTTGTAAGAGGGACCGAGAGCAGTCACATTCATAGGGACACAAAGTACACTGGTGGGCGCGGTGGGGTGGGGGGGAGCTGATGTTAATGGGGAAGAGTTTCAGATTGGAAAGATGGATGGTGGGGACGGCTGCACAGCAGTGTGAATGTACTTAATACCACTGAGCTGTATGCTTAAAATGTGGCCCATTTGATGTTCTGTATGTTTCACCACAATCGAAAACCAATAAAAGAAAGAAGACCAACTACTGTAACTGCGAGGCATGGATTTCCTTGTTTTTATGTCTCTCCTGCTGGCAGTTTCAGAGACCCAGTATTTCTCGTGCTTTCTATGTGGTGGTTGCATCAGACCTTCGTAATGTTTCTTTCTCATCCTTTTACTTAGTTATCAGAGTATTTGAATCTTCTCTTAGAATGCTCACTTTCAAACTGTTTTTTAATTTGACATTTTCAGTGTTTTGTCCCATTTGTGTTTGAAGTTCTTTTAACTTTTACCAGGAATCTATGAGTATGTTCTAAAACACTGAAAGGGGTGAAACACACTATTGGATGTCAAGAATGTCTCAGAACTGCAGAAGAACACAACACTGGGCTGCCTTGAGCAAGGACTCCCCATTACCATTTCAAGTGTGAGATTTGGGGACTCTCTGAGTCCTGTAGAATTGGTTGAAATGTGTAGATTATTGCTTGATTCTCAGACTTCCTGACATTTCTGAAAAATGGGAAAACCTGTTTTTCCATTTGTGGAGGAAATGGCCATCGTAATGTGCTTTCTGAGCAGCTAATCAGTAGTCCCACATTGACACTGTGCACTTGGTGCGGTGGCCGGGCCTTGACCCCATCACTGGGACTGAAAAGTTTACTGGCCACTTGCTTATAACTTCTTGAACTCAACTATATTAAAGTGAAATTATAAAACAGTCCTCACATAAAAATATACAGTACACTGAAATTTTGTTTCCTAAGAGTAATGGAAGTCAGTTCAATTCAGTGAACGTTTCTGAGTGCTTTTTCTGTGCCAAGAATTCGGTTAGGTCTTGGGACATACAAATGACACCTGATGGCTTGCCACTAGGTAATTTTAAGTGACTTTTGAGAGGAATGTGGCACGCACTCACATGCTTAACCTCTTGTTTGTTTCAGAGAGTGGGCCATGGCAATGACAACCACGCGGATGCTGACCGATCCCCTATATTTCTTCAGTTTATTGATTGTGTTTGGCAAATGACAAGACAGGTGAGAAATTTCAAGTATATTTCTGACCTTAAAGTTGAAGATTAGATGATTATTCATGTTCGTTCAAAATGAAGACGTGTGTATGTGTGTAAAAATAGGACCGCTTCTGTTATTTAACTCGGTTTGATTCTAATTCACTTGGAAGTATAAGCAGAAAATTAAAGACTATCAATTTCTCACCAAAAGTTCCTATTCTCGTGCAAATGCTTTTGTCAGCCCTCCTGCCCACCAGTAATGCCGACCAAGGCCCCGCTGCTGCCATTCTGAGGTTCTTGCTGCCTTCCCACCCCGGTGAGGAGGCACAGTCCCCTGCTGAGCGGGCCAGCAAGGGCAGGTGTCAGACCCGGGAACCCAGGAGTCTGCACACTTGCCCCGAGCCCCAACCCCCCGCGCCCCCGTGGCAGAGTCGCTGAGCACAGGGAGTGTCCAGGAAGCAGAGGCGGATAGGAAGTAGCTGGTGCTTAGTTTCCAAACCCTGGTGCACGGAGCCCCCGGTAAGCAATGCGACCATGCAGGGGTCCCCCTTCCCTAAGCTGGTAGGGCCACATGGCTTCAGTTCAGAGCAGGCCCTGAGGCCCATGTTGTTTATTCCCTGGTCTCTAACATCTGAGCCCAGGTTTGGGGTCTTCCCATCAGAATAGGAGATGGAGCCTCTCAGAGTGCCAGAGAGAGCGACAGAGACAGAGTGGCATACAGAGAGGGGCGATGGAGAGAGTGAGACAGAGACACACATGCGGACACAGAGACAGAGAGAGACCAAGACGGAGAGAATAGAAGACAGGTAGTCTCCCCAGTGCCTGCACGGGGAGAGAGTCAGAGGATGGAGAACCATGGCCTGGGTGCTCTCCTTCCTATTGGCCCAGAGGTCTGGCCTAGGCTGCCTTAGTCATGGGAAGAGGACCAGCTGGAAAGACTGCTGGCGACCTCTAGTGACTCCATCAGCAGCCATGGCACTCATGACAGCCTCCTGACCGCATTATTACCATCACCCTAGGACCTTTTCAGAGGACCTCTGCTTCCCACGCCCCGAAAGTCGGATGCCCCACTGTCTGTGAAATCCCTCACTGTGCACCACGGTTGGCAGTGGGGGTGTGGGGGGGGGCAGGAGAGAGGTTGCTGTTGCTGCCCCACTCCACCTCAGCCCAGACCCCTTCCAGCAGTAGTTCCTCAGAGGCCATCTGGGGGACCCCAGCCTCACTGTCTACCTGCGTGCACACTGTCAGCACCTGGAAACTTTTAAAGATGCACATGCTTGGGCCCCCGACCTTGTGGACCCTTCCTCCTGTGGGCCGAGGGAGAAGCCCAGATGTATGTAGTTCTGGAACATTCCCCATGTGGGTTCTGAGGTGCCAGTGAGGGCTCCATCCTACTGCAGTCCTGGGGCCAGTAGCCTCAGCTTCCCCTGGGGACTTAGAGATGATGAAAATTCAGGCCCGCCCAGCCCTGCTAATACTGGAGGAGGGTGGCACTGGATGTGGGGATATTATTAAAATGCAGAGTCTGATCTGTGAGCCTGCATTCTCACGGATCGCAGTAGCAAGGATGTAGAGAGAACAGGCATACTTCCAGAAAGAAGAAAAAAAAAGGGGGGGGGGTGAGTTCTGATCAGCTAGAGGAGACCTCCCAGAGCCCTCAGGCCCGCACTGAGAACTTACTCTTACTTTTAGGCCCAGCTTCCCCAAACTGATGGGGCTCTTGCGTTATCCAAGCGCCAGGTCACAGCTGATTCAGAGCAGCCAGTTGGAGGGCTGGCAGGGGAAGGGGTGCGAGGGGAAGGGGTGGTCTCAGAGGTGGGCACTGCTGGGATGAGTGACAGAGGGCAGTGAACGCACACTCCGAAAGCATGGAGGCTGGCCGGGGGTCTCACTGTTACGGGGTTCTCACCATGAACTTCTTGCTGTTTGTATTAATTGAGCCAATAACAAAATTAAATGATGGTTACATTCAGGTTAAAACAAAAAAGTATAAACTGCATTTTAGAAAAATTGTGTAACAAGGTTGAACACAAAAAAAAGTGCTTCTGAGGGGATAAGCACAACTTTTGTGGATGTGAAGTAGCTTCTTCCTCCCAAATGCCGTGTGTGTGTGTGTGTGTGTGTGTGTGTGTGTGATGTCCTCAAACTGCCTTCCATTCTTCATACTGTTTAGTGCCTATTTTCACGTCTAATCTAGATCATTTTTGTGCTGTTTATTGGATTTTAAGAATGAAAGCAAGGGGTTTAGATTAGATTTCAGATGCCTCTCAGCTCTAAGATACTGTCCATGAAATGTGTATAATTAATGTCTCAAAACAACATGGTTAATGCAATAGAAGCAGAAATATCACTGCTCAGTCTATCAGTTAAGTTACAAGTGGATGAGACATGTAGCTTGTTAGGAAAGATGCATTAATGTAATAAGATTAATTTATTTGGAGGTTGCCTACTGCTAAATCAAGTAAGCTAAATCCGCGTTACATTGTTTGAAATCTCAGGATAAAGTGAACCAGCCTATGTGGACAAATTGATATAAAAGGATCTAAGGGAAAGTAATTGAGGGGCTCTTCAGAAAAGAGTCTCAAAGATTCTACAATAACCATAGTTTAATAGACTCTCTGCCCTTTTGAATAGGTTTAATAGTGGTTCATATTTTTGTTCCTCAAGAGGTGCAGAATTTCATTGTGGATTTCTAGAGTTTTTGAGCCCATACTTTTAGGTAGATGGTATAGTTTCCAGGAGAAGAGGCCAAAAGGAATTATGAATCATGAGACTTACTCTTCTATTCGTATTACTCTAGCTGTTGCTACTTCCCTGGGCTGAGCGTGAGGCCACAAGGCCATTTGAACGTGAATAGCAGTCCTGACGAGCATCAGTAATGTAGCCCTTGTGTCTTGGTTCTGGGGGTGCTGATAGGCGTAGGCTGAGCCCCAGCCAGCCTAGACCTACCGGCTCTGGGACCCACTTGGCCGGAATAAGGCTTATAGTCAGGGGTGCTAGAATGTGCCCAACCAAGCTCCCAGGTCCAGAAGGCGGGCTCAGGCTTAGGAATAAAGACTCGTTTGACTTCAAAAATGTGTCCATAGAAGCTTTGCTGTCCTGTTAATAAATGTGTAATTTAAATGAAAATAAAGTCTAGATCTTCCATTTCTATCCTTGATTTAATAAAGCTTCAGTGTACATAAATGTTATATATTTGCTTAACATTCATAAGTTTCATGGTGCCAAAAATTTAGAAATAGAGCGTTACTAAACTGCATAGAAAAATGCTGGGAAAAGTGGACATGATGTACTTGGCCTTTTAAAGGATAGCCATTTGGAATGTGAGGCCATTGGCAGAGTCGCAAGTTGAAGGCTCAGAGAGGATTCATCAGTAGCTGTCTTCAGCATTTCAGCCAGGATTAGTTGATTTAGTTCATCTAAGAACAAGAATGCTGGTACGAACAACCAGCACAGCTAGTTTCCAGAGGTTTCTGAAGAAGTGGAATTCTGAGGGGGCTCCTCAGAAGAGAGTTGTGTGTTTCTGTGGGAACAGTCCTTAAGATGGAGAGAGAGACACATCTGAAACCAAGGCGGCTGCGCAGAAGTCCGTACGTTGGCTAATGTGATAAACAGCCTGGTGAGGAAAAGAACGATTTCAGGTGGAGTTTGGACAGTCCTGGACTGACCATTATTTCTCATTGGGAAGCTTGTCCGTAGCCTGGGAAAGTGATACGGCCATCGGTGAGCCTGGTTGTCTCTCTAGAGGTGACAGGATTAGTCATGAGAGTGTGCAGACAGCACTGTGGGGAACAGTTTCATACTTTAGGGAAAAGTTTTCAATTAGCAGTAATCGCACCTCGGATAAACCTCATTGGCTACGATACTGCCACTGCGCAGAGTGACTTAAGTAAACCTCTGCTGGGTAGTTCTGTTTGGTTTGCTTCTCCCGGGCTTTGCCTCCTTCAGTACGTCGCTGTGCTCTTGGCACATGGGAGGCGCCCCGCCCGCACCAGCTGCCGGGAGCTTCGCCGTCCTCATTAACCCCTATTATCGTTCCCAGGCCATCTCCTTACGGCTACTAAATGCCAGCTACTGGCTGGAACCTCCCGACAATGGTAAAGTCTCTGTTGCAGTTCTGTAAAAACCCATGAGAATTACCTAAAACAATAACTGAGATGATTATGTGATTTTCTTAATTCTGTTAATGTGGTGAATTACAGTAATTATTATTATT